CACGTTGCACATAAGGTCAATTTTTCTTTGTAGACATGTTTCCTAGTATGGGTTTGACAGCTGTCAAATATGGCCTATTCGAATGACTGTACTATACCGACGTGATCCAACAGGCGGGCGCCAGATCACAGTATTGTATTGGCCGAGCGCGGGCCACTGTGTGCTTTAGACAATTGGATCCAGTGTTCCAACCAATAAACATTACCGGGAAGGAGAACGCTTCTCGATCTGATTGACAGTGTAAAGGACGATCAAATACCTAGGAATATCAGTCACAGGGAGATGTCAAAATTAGCGACTTGGCTAGGTAAATATTTAGAGTTTGATGAGAAAATCTACAGCTTGCTTGAATGTTATCTATTGCCATTAGCCAGGGTTTAATCAGATCGCTTCGGCATTAGATAAGGCCCAAAATTTTGTCATCTCCCTGCAACATACTATTACTATAGATATACTCGGGAAGGTTGTTAATTATATCGATGCTACCGACGTGATCCAACAGGCGGGCGCCAGATCACAGTATTGTATTGACCGAGCGCGGGCCACTGTGTGCTTTAGACAATTGGATCCAGTGTTCCAACCAATAAACCCTCTCGGTGTCCAACACGAAAAGAGAGAGAAACCAATAAACATTACCAGGAAGGAGATCGCTTCTCGATCTGCTTGACAGTGTAAAGAACGATCGAATACTGACTACCGACTACATGGTTATTACTACATCTAAGTACATACCTATAGTAGGCGAAAACGTGGTCTTTCGTGTCGCTTGTCGACGAGGTATCCCACACGTTATTAAGAACTGTCGCTGCCGCGGTCATCCGAGACAATTTTAAAATGCGCATGTTGTGTGTTAAGTTACTATTATTGACAGTATCGGTAAATTATAAGATGCCAATGCCATCTATCCGTGTGCAGTATAAGATACGTTCAGTCGTTTAATTGTTCACACAAAAGGCCATTTCGGTCATTCTTCCGGTTTGTTCATCTCTTCCATATTTTCTTTGATGTTGTTCACTCACTTCAATGTATTAGACCAACCAGACAGTTTTGTAATAAAAATTTAAATAAATTAATTTCCGTAAAAATATCGTTTTGCTTCAAAATCCCTGACCACCATCGACTGTCAAAACAGCGCATTATATGCAGGTTTACGTCAAAATTACGGTGGGTTACACCAAATGTCCGTCTTGTGTAGGAGAGCTAAAGATTGGTCTTGCAAAAAACACCTAGTTGAGAAGTTTGTGCTAGCAAATATTAAGTAGATATTTTTTGTTGCTTGGGTGGGGTGGGGAGCAATTAGGTACTTACTCCTATTCAAAGATCAGCTAACGAAGTATTGTGCGATGTTGCACCTGCAGATGCAACGTACCTACGTTTTTGTTAGAGCACTAGAAGCTTTCGATAGCAGCGGTACCTATTCACAAATAGACGAAACAATGCCGCCAGTTAGCAACTTTCTTAAGAATTAAAAATTGTAATGTAACTGAATTGAAACTAACTGCACTAGAATTTCAAATCCAGATCCAGAAAACAAGCAAGTGACAATTCCTATCGACCAATCAGCACCGAGAACGAATCGATGGCTATTTGAATTCTAAATTCGAATCGAACGTTGGACGTTCCGCGCGCCGATTGAATACATCCTACACGTATAAGTGGCCAGTTTGCTTGGCTGAAAAAGAAATAAAATTGAATTCAGTTCATTGCGAACTCTCCATTCTGTTGCATTGTTTCGTTTGAATGTTAGTACCGCAGATTCAAGCTTGAGTTTCAAACAATGGAGCAATGGAGGCTTATTTACATTTCAGTGCACAGAAATCTCCAGGCGCGCCGCTTCCAAGTATGTAGACTTTTTAGTTTTCATATTAAGTGGGAAAATATACCCTCAGTGGAGTTAAACAAAGTTTGCTCTGAGCCTGACGAAGTTGCTGTTTACTGCGGGTGGGAAGTTCATTTGTTTCGTTCGAAAAAAACTTTCAACAAGTACCATTACTTACTTATTTGTAAAAGCTTATATAATGGGTATGATTGAAACCATGTACCTAACGCTTTTAAGTTAATTAATTGAATACCAAAGAGTATCCAACATTTTAGTATCTCCGAAACTATACGTTTTACGACTTACTTATTATCAAAAGACACTTTTGGTTTGTATTTTCTATGTTTCATCAATTTTGCGATATGTTTCAACTCTAGCAAATTTTCACCGCAGGCAGGATTTGAGCCTGCGACTTTCGGCATCTGTACTGCCGACGCCTCTACCAACTGAGAAAATTGTAATAAGATCAAAAGCCAATTTTCGCATATTATGGTATAGATATATTACCTCAATGTGTTGCGATGTAATGTAACCTTAATGGCGCGACACTGTTCCTAAAGTAAAGATTGGAGCGTTAGTGATTCTTAGAGAACCTAACTTTCCTCCCCATTCGCCATTGAATGGCATTTTATTCTCCCGTCAGCACCATTCATGGGAGAGTGCTGGGAACGACTTGTTATGTTAGATCTGTAAAGATGGCACTCTATGCTGAAGACCAAAGCCCGTAGAGGAGAAATCTTGTGGACCCTACTTGGCATTAGGTATAAGACCGCTAACCCACGTTCCCGTGGCGGCGGATGACGAGCCCGCCCTGACACGAAGCAATTTTTAGGCCGGTCCTCGAACTTGCCAAGAGGCGTCTCAGATTTCACAGACCTAATTGTTAGGAAGAAAGCAAAGCTCTGCGCCTAGCCAATCACTTTTGGGAGCAATGGGTCAAAGAGTACCTATTTGGCCCTTCGCCCAGATGCTAATTCGCAATTTGGAAATAGGAGATCTAGTTTATTGCAGATGGCACTTTACCACGCGGTATGTGGCCGCCGAAGGATCTCAGCCGTATTTCCAGATCGTGACGGAACGTGGTGACGTCACATACAAAATCATAGATTTATTACATACTCATACATAATCATAAGGACTTTTTGTATTGTCAATCTGGTGTTCTTTAAATTCCATCCCTTATATGCGGCCCAAGGCCAGGATTGTAAAAGTCTACTATCCTGAAAAGATGACATCATTCCGAGCATGTAGGTAGCAGTGTTGTGATATTAATAAAACAGTCGCAAATGAAACTGAAGAAGTACGGTCTGTCTGTCCCCTGGCTATATCCAAGACATTACACTGAGTTATATCGGAGATTTGAGTGAACGAAATAAATATTAGCATGTTTTTGATTTACACCAAAACTTCAACGAACAAGGGTTTTAAGAATAATGGCAACATCTCGGTTTCGAAATGCAACAAGACATAGGTAGGTACTTTTTGTAGATTGCGCATGACGAGGTATACCTAAAGGGAGTAACAAAAAGGGTATAACAAGCCGAACAGAGGTCAAGGTGAGGTCAACTCATGAAAATGAACAACTTTCCCAATGGAACATGGGTGGAAATATGAAAAAAAAAAATTAAACCTCCCAAACAAAATTACTATAGAAGGTATTACTATTGTTTTTTTCATATGTCGACCCCATGTTCCATGGGGAAAGTTGTTCAGTTTCATGAGTACCTTGACCTCGTTTCAGTTTGTTAGGTTTACCGTTTTTGTTTCACTCAGTATAGAAATTTCCTTGACGTAGCTTCTATCTTAGGTTATTATTGCGCATGCAGTAGTGAAGCGGGAATTCATGGCACATGCAAATCATAAAATCATTATGGCTTTTTAAATTTTGCTCGTTAAATATCCATCGATAACAACGCTCCATACAAAGCTTAATACGCATCCCTAGAGTGAATATTTTCAAAATAATTTGTTCATAAGTATATTTCTTAGATACCCGCAATATTTTGCAGGTACAGTTAATATGTCAGATCATAAGATTTTACGTTTACACTTCAAACACACTACATACACACACTCCATACTACATAAAAAAGTGCATTAAAACGAATATTAATATTTTAAAATTTATAAAATAAAATATTAGTATTAGTATATTTAATATAAATAAAATATAAAATTATTAGTATTTTTAAAATTGGAGTGTTGGAAAGTTAGAAAATGATTTAGAAAAATGTATGGGCTGATTGCCAAGTTGAAAAGAGGACTTGGATTTTCCAGATCAGAAAGAAACACTCATGAAAAAATTTAAGAGAAAAATTAGGTTACTCTTTTAAATGTTTGAAGAATCGATATCTCTCGTTAAAAAGACCCGAAATAGCTGCATAGCGCACTTTTTTTCGAAACATGGATTACACTACAGAATATTGGCAAAACTCACTTGACAAAGATGTGAGAAAAAATTACAGTCCCGAGAAGCGGTGGAATCCGTGTAGGTGGAGAAAAAAGATTATTCAAAGGTGCAGAATATGTATACAAATGCAAAAGCAAACAAAGGAATTGAGTAAGGAAATGTTTCTTGAGAGGAAAATAAAATAACAATAAATGACTCAAGTGACCACCGAAAATAACATGAGACTGTTTTTCGGCACATCCCCCACCAAACAATGACTAAATTAGAAGATAGCCTCTTATCCGGATGTCTGAGTCAACCGTAGAGACAGAGCAAAGTTTTATATTTACACCATGTTCAGGAGGAAATGCATTAAATTGTTCCTAAACCAACCGTTCCATCGTACTGAATAATTATCATAATAGACCTAATGCAATTACAAATTATTCAGTACAGTGCCCTAAATAAAGTATCTCGTTATGGTACACAAATTTCCGGTACAAAGAAGAAAGGGGTTTCCAACGTTTTGTCTTACAGGCAAGGAGTCGATGGCCTTCCTGAGACAGGAAAGCATACGGGGACCAGAGGCATGGATGGAAGGTCTCAGACAAAAGATCCTAAGTACAATCATGCTCATACCTTTAACCTCTTGGAGATGCGGCACACTGGCTACACTGACGGATGATCTCCCTCAGAATTCTGAAGCAACCGATCTTGAGAGATCTCCGAATGTCCAAGGATGGACTTGGATTAGATTCACACAAGTGAAAATAAGAAATAGAAAAAATGTCATACATCGACCGGGAATCGAACCCGGGCCGCGTGGGTAAACGCCCCACCGCTCTGCCACTGAGCTATCGATCGTCGCTTCAAGACGAGCATCAAGAGATAGAAAATTTGGCATCCATCGGCAGGTACATCGATAGCTCAGTGGCAGAGCGGTGGGGCATTTACCCACGCGGCCCGGGTTCGATTCCCGGTCGATGTATGACATTTTTTCTATTTCTTATTTTCACTTGTGAGAATAATATAGCACTGTGAGTGCATTAAAATCCCAATAGTTGGATTAGATTGTTTCAAGAGACATTGATGAAAGCAAAGGGAATACTGAACCAAATCTAGTGCCTATACCTGTTCCAACAAAGAGCAAAACAAGGGCCGGTCTGAAGGTGATGCTATCAGTCAGTACCAAACCAAAGACAGCTTTATATGCTGAAAGAGTCTGTGCGCATGATTTTGCAATGCTTGTTCTATATGTAGGATTTGCGGCAGATCATCAAGATAGACCACGGAAGGATTGACTTCCTCTTCCATAGTTACCTATTACTGGACAAAAAAGTAAGGAGAAATACATTTTACGAGTCCCAGTTTATTAATACGTAATTATACATATTTATGTTTACTTCCGAAAACTTTACATACGAGTAAAGTTACCTATTACATTTTCCACCAGTCGTTATTCGACCAAAATATATATTTCGATAAAAGAATATATTGCCGTAGAACAAAAGCTCAATTGAGTTCGATTTGATCGGGTTAAACCATTCTAATGCGATTAGCTTCATATCAACTCATAGCATTGAAAAAGATTGATCAAGCAACGTGAAAGAAGGTTCCTGATTCACTTTACGATGTGGATTCAAATTGTATGTTTGAAAATCAGTTTGCACGGGAAGTCTTGGAAAAAGCTTGGAAACATTTACTAATTTTCTACAGTTTGGAACATTAACGAAATTTCGCGACGTTGATGTTATTCAGAAACCTTTGAATTTCGCAGAACAATTCCGAAATGCAGTACATAAACACGTAAGGAGGGGAATTTAAAACACACTAAGTGCCAATTTGAGTTGTATGTGAGATCCGCAGCTGGGTTAAGCTTTCTAATTTAAGTTGGTGTTCGTTACGAAAACAGATTCCCCCCCGTCAGGCGAGCGCCGACTTAGGAGCCTCGCTAGGCTTCTAAGTGAAAAGCGGAAAGGGGTTTCAAATAGGCGATAAGTTTGCTCTGGACTCTAGTCATGGACAGGTTCAACGACATCAAAACCATGTGGCATTCTAGTCAAAAATGATTTGTGAATGCGATTTGATGGATGGATTCTTATCCACAGAGAGCCCCGATATTCGTTTAATCTTTTATCGTCTCATCTTAAAAAAACTCCCTATTAGATTTTTATTCTGATTAGGTATAGCAATAGCAATCGAATTTAAATTTTTCTGATACGGAGTACGGTAAATATAAAAAAAAAAAAACAGTAGGTAAGTGAGATACAGTGCACTCGCGAGTTCATGACCGTCCTGAAATATGTGCCTCCTTTCGCACTCGCAGAGATCATGGCGTGTGCAACAAGAAGCTGCATATTTCAGGATGACCGTGAACTCGCGCGTGCACTAGTTATCTAGTAGGTATCTCGTTATCCACCTGGTTTAATTGGAGCAATCACTTGGTGAGCCCCTGATCATTAAATTCGCTGGTTTTTTAAACCTTGTACCACACAATCGAGGCTGCGCCTCTCTTACCAACTTAAAACTCACTTATTTAACTCAACTTTGACTTAGTTCATTCTGATTCCTCGACTTTCACTAAGTCTTCCGTGGAGAGGCCAAATTTCCAATGATAATTTGTTTTACATCTGATTGAAAAACTTGACTTCAATGTGACGAACTGTACAAGAGGAAATTGAGACAAAATTCACAAAAATTATATCTGTATGAATAAAAATTCGGAAAAACTGTAGAAGCAGACGACGTTTACAGAAGTGGCAGCCAATGAGCCAAAGAAGAAAACAAAATTAAGACTATTTATTGATTGTGGTCAAAACTAGAAAAGAAGTGTCGAAAAATCGGAAATAAAAATAAGTAGCCTGTCTATGTGTAGTCATAGTGTAGATTGCAGGTAAAAATAATGCATGTAGCTTATGAAATAAGAGCTACAGACAGTTTAGTACCCGACTACCTCAGGAGAGTTATGTTTTTCGAGATGTATGTATGTGGACTAAAAATTCTTTTTAGCGGGCCACAGCACAAACGCCTTAGCGGATCTTGACATTTGTAGTGTATATGTCGCAGTACGATGACAGAATCAGGATTTTGGCCGAAATCCTAGATTCGTTTAGTATTATGGCTTTTTTTTGCATTTTGAAAGAACTTCTGTCTTCGAGTGGTACACCAAGTCGCCCAACGACCCGCTGTACCCTGGTATCAAAGTTTTTCAACCGCCTACTGCAAGTAGCAGGCCTCTGACATGGTTGTGTAACGACCGCCGTATAAGTGATCAAAGAAAGCAATCGGGACCGACGCGACGGCTTACCGTGCCGTGTAAAATATTTGCAGTGAATTTAATAGGACCTTATATAAAATGGCGTATTTTGTAAGCAAAATATAACTTTGATATTATAGACGGTTTTTTAGGGTTTCGTAGTCTACTAGAAACCCTTATAGTTTCGTCATGTCTGTCTGTCTGTCTGTCTGTCTGTCTGTCTGTATGCCGCGCCCTCATATCTTCGTCAGTTTTAGAGCTATCGACATGAAATTTGGTAGGAAGATAGATCGTGTTGACCCAAATATAGAAATGTTAAGAAAAAAATATTTTAAATGTTTTTTGGGCCCCCTCCCATACAAGTGAAAGGGGGGCAAAAAAAATTTTTTTCTTCTGTAATGTTGAGTAGGGTATCGTTGAATAGGTCTTTTAAAACTAAGGTGAGGTTTCTTTGAAACAAAGTCACTAAAATGTTTCTGTCACGAGATATTTGCTTTTAAAAAGGGCGTTTTTGACCCATAATTTGTTCCAGCTGTAACTTCTAAAGTATAAACGCTAAAAATTTGAAATAAATATGGAATATAGCTTACAATTTGAAGTTACAATGAAAACTATAACGGATATCGTACCCTTAAAGGTTTCAGAAAAAATTGAGTTTTTCTATTTGCGGTTGGTCATCATACTGCTGCTAACAAACCAGCAACAAAATTAAGTTTGTAATGCTGAAAAACCTGATATTTAAACGTTGACTACGAAACCCTATTTGTGGGCGTGCCTGACACGCTCTTGGCCGGTTTTTTTAATACATCTGCTTGTTTAATTTCTGCCAATTATCTGGTACGAACTAAATACGTTAAACGGACAGATCCGTCAGAGCGGTACATTTTTCTTTAAAATTCGACAAAACTAACCGGAAAATTCTTTTTTATTAGCAAATAGCCTGAAATACAGACATCTGCTTCACCATTAGTCACAACACTCCCACTAAAACTTCAACTAATGAACTGAAACGCAAAGAACAACTCCAGAAACATTTTGCAGCGAAATTGTTCCAACTGAAAGTTTTGCGGATCTCGTAGACTGGAACGTTATGCCAACTGACTACATTTGCCTACGCTTCTCAAACTTTGAACATTTGTCAGCGGCAGTAGCAGTAGGCTTCGGAACGTTACGTCTCGCAAGTCTCGCTGCAAAAACAAAATTAGAGCTCTGTATTCTATTACAAATGTTATGTTTCTTTCAGTCATTTAGCCATAGGTACTCCTGAATGTGGAGTAATGTGAACACTTTACAAATCCTAAAGCAAAAGTCAGTTAGGCCCAAGTTGTGAAACTTTCGTATTTTCGTACGTGCAAGTACTTAGTTTCTTTTCTTTAATAAAGTTAATTTAAAATCAGTGCAAATATTCTTGTGTAAGTTCTACTGAAGGACAAAATTGAATAACTAGGTATCTCTAAAAGATCAAAAATAAAATAGGTAAAATTAGATCCTTCTATATAATGTTTTGATTTTTTTGTATGTAAGGTGCAAATAAACAAGACACAATTTGAAGCATAGGACGAGATCCGATTCAAAAGAAAAATTCGGTTTCCCTTTCGATTCTAGGTGGAACCAATAGACCCAATATTTCAAACAATTCAATCCAATGCAAAATATGTAAATCAAGTAGGTTGTTTTGTTAGGGGTATTTATTGGTTTTGAACTTTTGATAAAAGTCAGCCAATGCTTTTTCAATTCAATGCGTCAAAACTTGAGCCATCGACGGAACCACTGTTCCAGAAAACGGCCCGTTTTCCGGTTAGAAAAGGTTTTTATTACGGCAGGTAACAATAAAATCGGGTGAAATATGTTGCAATAAACTGAGCCGTAAACTGTCAATTTCATAAAACATTTTCAATTTCTTGCGCGTAACAAGTAAAGAAGTTATTTTTTGTTTTGTGCAAGAGGTTTCGAGGTCACGGTAGATTTATCAGGCCCTATTTGAAAGTCCAAAAAGCCACAAACCCTGACAACTAAATAGAACCAATAAAAACACTCCGACTGCGATCTGTATTCATATCGCGCATTTTCCACGCACGAAAAAAATCAAGTACATAAATCATAAGGCGATTCGAACAGTGCCCGCGACGTGGATTTATAAGCGAGAAGTCTGTCATATTGAGAAATTACTACAGTTTCACCCGCAAAAGAGTTCACGTACTGAAGCCGAGACCTAGACGTTTTGATGGATATTTTAAAGAAAAAGAATTAAAAACATTCAAGATATTCGTGATATGCGATTAGAGTAGAAATAGAAATTTCTATAAATGAGTATCGCAATTATTCATCCATTTAGAAATGTATACTGGGTGAAATTTCACTAGTGACCGATAGCGAAAACGCCCCTCACAAAGTTTCCCCAAGGAACATAGGTCGGAATATGAAAAAAATGTCTTGGACATCCCATAAAAAATTGTCGATTAGCTGATTTGAATTACTATGGGAAGTCACAATATAATATACCGTTACACTTAATTAAGTACAAATCTCTTGAGGGTGTGATCTACTCACAAAACTGAACAACTTTAGTATGAAACTTTTCTTCGAAATATGAAAAAAAAATTTGGACC